TGTGTGTGTGTGTGTGTGTGTGTGTGTGTGTCAACATCCCCAAACTCTCTCTCTCATTCCATCCTCATACCATCGCAAACCATCCATAAACAACAAAAAAGTATAGATGAGCAATACAATAGAAAGAGTAAGGTTCCCCACGATTGTGGTTGAGCTGTGTGTGTGTGTTTTACTCCTTTGGTTCTATTCGCCGTCTGCTTCCTCTTTCCCCCCGTCCACCTCCTACTCCCATCGGATTTATTCCCTGTCTGCTTCCTCTTCCCCTCCCCCCCAAATCTCCTGCTCCCCTCTTGATCCGCATACCATCCTGCACCACAAAGGTGAGGCCATTCCCTCTTCTCCCTCGTCCCCTCCTGCTCTTTCAGAATCCCTTTGTCTCCGGTACCTCTTTCCCGTCCAACTCCGAACAATTTTCTTCTTCCTGTTCCACCAACTCTATCACAACCTACCTCCCACTCATCCCGCCTATACCGTCCCACATACCACCCATCCCAACCCATCCACCTCTCTCTCTCTCTCTCTCTCTCTCTCTCTCTCTCTCTCTCTCTCTCTCTCTCTCTCTCTCTCTCACACACACACACACACACACACACACAGCAGGTGAATGGGGAGGGGTGGCATAACTCGAGCAGGGGAATAGGGGAGAGGGAGAGATGGCATGACTTCGGCGAGAAGGGAAATGGCGCCATGGGAGTTTCGGGATGAGGGAAGTGGCAACGAGAGGTGGGTACGTCCCGGGGAGAGGGGTAGGAGGGAATTTGTCAGGTGAGGTTGAGTCAAGGTCACAACCTCTCTCTCTCTCTCTCTCTCTCTCTCTCTCTCTCTCTCTCTCTCTCTCTCTCTCTCTCTCTCCCTCTGTGCATAAATTCATGGAGAAAGGCATCACATGTTCACTGTAGGTCTAGACGTAGATTCTTCGGAGTCGGGGGGAGCTGTAAAGTTGTCTCTTACCACTGGGCTATTTGCTGGGAACCCCTATGAATCTTGGTCCTCCGAATTCTCACACTGAGGAACAATCCAAGATTCGGGGCAATCAGCAGGAAACCAAAGTTGTAATTCAATTGTCATGACGTTGAATATTTGGAATCGTTGATTACAACGAGTAGGATCCTCAGAGGCTATATGCCCAGCAACCATTCTATCTCTCTGGTTGAAGATATACAGTGCGGAGAGTGTAGGAGGGAAGACCAGGTTGCAACCTCTCTCTCCCACAGCAGAACAGTGAGGAGAGCGTAGGAGGGAAGCCGAGGATGGACCCCCCCCCCAACTAGGATACTTCTACTTTGCATGGTTTGGCCCGCTGGCCTTCCTGACAGATTGGCCCTTCCCTGCCCGGCCGACCGGGCAGATCCGTGCTGGCTTGAGGCACCCAGGCGGCCTGATCGGTATCCCATCTCAGAATGTAATCAATGTTAACAAACTTTTTACAGGGCAGCAGGGTTGCATCCCTGCCGACCGCCGACATTGCAGCCGACCAGTAGGGCCGACCGGTCGGCGGTCTGCCGACCAGTCAGAAAACAACCATCCACTGATTTCTTTTCAAATCTGAGTTATGGGCTGTACTGCGCTTGCTGAGTACAGCCTAAATCCGCTGAGAAACTTTTGGGGATGCGGGTGGGTATGGGGGGGTTGGGTTTGGTGTATAGAGGGGGTATAGGGGTGATATAGGGGGTATTGGGGGGAGGAATAAGGGTGTTGGGGGCGTTTTGGGGGTGTTGGGGGGGTGTTGGGGGGGTGTATGGGGGTATTGGGGACCGCTATGGGGTGTTGGTGGTGTTATTAGGGGTTCTGGACCCTTTGCGGGGTGCCGACGACCCCCGACCAGTAGGTGCCGACCAGCTGATCGGTCGGCAGGTCGGCAGCCGACCAGTCAAGGGTCGCCGACCTTCGAGGGGTGCAACACTGCGGGGCAGTGATTGTTGATCATCATGACTGGAGAGGTTCCATAAAACTGTGTTGAGTCAGGACACTCATTCTCAAGTTCAATGCACACAGATCAGCTACATACAAATAAAAGGGACAAAAAAGAGAAAACAAGTACGTCTTTGCATCCATTCCAGACCCCCATATCAGATGCGTCGACACAGAATCTATTCTAGCACCTTTTTGCGCACTCCTTATAAGTTACCAATCATCACATGCGCATATTTTCAGCGGGGGTAAAATAAGCATTCCCACCTCTCAGAAAGGGCAAGGGCTGCAAGTCTATGCATACACTAAAGTTGGATGTCATAACCAAGGTATTTGAACTCTTTGAACAGGATCGTTGAAGTAAGGATCGCCTGCGGGAAAGTGAGATCTTCCTGCTGAAACGTGACGGTATCGTCATGTACCATGACTCGACGACAAATTTGAGCGAGGAAAACGTGTCGGAAACATTTCTCGAAGAGGCGAAGATACCCCTCGTGAGGGGGTGCCAACCGCCTCGTACTCTTTTTTCAGCATTTATCAAGGGCCCTTTGGGCCTAGATGGGAAAACTTTTCAGTATGACAGGCAATMCCCCTGCAACAGGGTMCCCYCCGCCTGCCATATTTTGCGATCGGGTCCGAAGTTGGGCCAAAAGTGAAGTATGAGAAAGTAAGATGTAGATCGTGGTAAAAGTAGTAATTAATAGTGCTACGAGTAGTTGTACTTGCCTCATTGGGTTTCCTTGACGGAGTGACAAGTTGGGGGATGTTGGAGAGGAGATGATGGCGCCATGACAATAAAGTTCAGGTCATCTTCTTTCAATTCAGTTCCATTTTGTGTAATCTCTTCTCATGAACTCTTTGAACAGCTGTTTGATAGATGTGATTACGATTGCATCGTGTGTCGTATCTGCTTTGTGAATGCTTTCATCTTTGCAACGAGTTCCCGATGAGACATACCAATATTTTTGAATATGGC